CCCACCGACAGCTTTCCCAACACAGCTGGCCCTGAGGAGCTCTCTCTAATTACTTCTGGGTAATTAGGTACCTCTTACCATCACAACACCCACATCTGCTTTCTACCAACCATCATCCTACCTATGAGTTCTTGGTGGACACAGCTGGAGAGAGGATGCTGCAGGTTTTGGAGAAGGGAGAGCTGGGGGTGGGGGTGTCACACAAATGGTCACAGCGCCCCATGGTGATGCCACCTCTCCTCGTCACATGCTCAGAGTGGCCTTCGCTGCTAATTTTAAGTACCTCTTAGTAAGCAATTGCTAAATTTAGTGCCTCTGAGAGAAACATGAGCCTCATTTTAAAGGCTGGGTGGCTGATGACAGAGGCAGAGGAGTGAAGGGGTAAAGTGGGATTGCCCTGCAAGGTGGGGAAGGGAGACATTAACTTGAACCCCCCCATATAAAGGGAGCATGAGAACTACCACCAGGCCAGGAGGCGTGAAGAACCTGAAGCAGGGTAGGTTTAGACTGGATCTAAGGAAGAAATTCTTTACAATGAGGGTGGTGAAACACTGGCAGGGGTTGCCCAGAGAGGTGGTGGAGGCCCCATCCCTGGGAACATCCAAGGCCAGGTTGGACAGGGCTGTGAGCAACCTGGTCTGGTTAAAGGTGTCCCTGCTCCCTGCGGGGGGGTTGGACGGGGTGACCTCTAGGGGTCCCTTCCAACCCAAAACATTCTATGATTCTATGAAGATTCAGTCCAGCCTTCAGCACTGCCCCCCACCTCTCGTCCTTCACCAACCTGCCCATGCAGAGGTTTCCAGTTCTCAGGCAGAGCAAAACCCCAGCGAAGCGGGGAATCGTGCCCCGGCTCACAGCCCTCCCACCCCCCTGACGGCTCTCGAACCTCTGCCTGCACACCCCTCTCCCTCAGGAGCTGTCTGCTTGCACTTCTGGCCATTCGTGTCCAGCAGCTGTTGGCTCTCCAAGTTCTGCTGGGTTGCACAAGGGACAGCAACACCGCAGCGTGTTGCGCTGGCAGGAGGAACACTCTGGGTTTCACCGAGAAACACTCAACCTCTCCAGGCCAAGGCAGCTCCATGGAAGGGGGTGATGAGCAGGACACCAGCCCTTGCTCGCGGGCTGTGCACCAGCACACGAGGCTGAATGGCCCACAGAGAAACAAAATGTGGAGAGAAGACCCTGTATTAAAACCCAGGGTCCTGGGACATTGAATTCTGAATATGTCTTAAGATGTTACCAAATAGAGTAAGCACTGGCATAGACGACACCTATTTAGCAAAACCAGACTCCATCGTCATATTGTCTGCACAAAGCAGAAAAAGGGGCTTTGAAACCCTGATTACCAGCATAGCAGCTTTTCTTGGATATCCCATGATAAAGAAGCCACAGGAGAAAGCAACCCTTTGGCTTTTCTGGGGTCAGAGCCTCATACGCCCAAAGGATTTGGTTTTTTCCTCTGCTTCCACTTTGCAATAGATCTGGCTGCTGGGAAATCAACTCTGGCTCCTTGAGGTTAAGCTCTGGTAAAACCTGAGCGATGGAAGCCAGACAGATTTTTTTCCCTTTTGTTCTCTTCAACTCAAGCGCGCTGTGCTCTCTTCCCGCAGCACGACTCCCTCTCAAGTCAGTAACATCACGAAAAGGGGTTTGCTTCTGAGATAAAATGGAAGAAAAAACATCATTGAGTCAACGTACCAGAGTCCTTTCCAGCTTTCCAGCAGCCAGGAAGGCATCCCACCTCCGCACAACAGCATCGGCACAACTTAGCTGGCGTTGGAGGGGGTCAGTTGAAGATGGTGCCTCCTCTCCAGACATCCATCTTGGGAGGCACTGACCCTTGGAAGAGGTTTTTCCCTCCCTCTCTCCGTCCCTTTCCCTCTCTTTTCTGTCTCTAGAGGGACCTTCTGTAACTCCTTGGTCACCTGGACATCCTATTCCTGAATAGCTGCGGTGAAGCGACGTGACTCCCACCCCTGATGCTTCGTAGAAAAGCACAAAGAGCGTACACACGCTTCACACGGGGCAGCAGATGCCAGAACAGACACATTCCTCACTCCGGGCAGGAACCCTTGGCCGGCAGCCAGCCAGATGGCTTCACGGAACGCAGAGAGATAAGGCAGCAGCTAAACACGCGTCGTCTTCATCCTGAAATTTTTTTTTTTTATTTTTGGAAAAACCCCGCTGTTTAGACGTTTTAAAACTATGCTGATGTCTACGTTTTGTTCACTTGACTTCAAAATAAAGAACAGGATTTATCTCTCTAAGGAAAAAAATGGGTTTTTTCTCGTTCCAGAAGGCGCCTGTCATGAGGTCAAGACAAAGCCTTGCAGTTACTAACGCCTGTGGCTACGGACACACGTCTGCGCCGTTCAGGCAGAATGGGGGAGAGGGCTCCTCTTAAGCTGGAGGACATGCAATTAAAGCGTAAGTCGACAAATGGGACTCATTAAGAAGAGGGTGCGTTGTATGCAAGCCCTCATGGAAGCTGTTAACCCAGGGGATGAGCGGAGCCCAGCATGACTCAGGTTAAACACCTACCCCGGCAGTGAGGACAGCCATCGGCCTGAAGGTAGGCTCCGAAAGCACAAAGCTGAGCTTCAAACCCTCGTGCTGCAAAGCCTCCTAGGAAGAAAGCGTCCTCTGGGGACTGAGGTGTCAGCCCCGGTGACATCCACACATGAAGTGCTCTCAGAAGCGAGCTGTTGGCCTTGATGCTCACGCCGCCCCTGCCCAACGGTGCAGAAGACACGCACAGACGCGTTCTGCGTTTGCCGTGGCGGCGCCGAGCGCTGCTAGACTGGGTGAAGGCTCGAAGCCAGAACGAGTTACCCAAAGCCTTCTCTCTAAACCCACACAGTGCAGGGGATCCCAAACCCTGATGATGTGTGAAGCCGGTGCGTTCCCTGACACTGCACCCAGCTCCTCTTCAGGACATACTGGAAGTTGGCGTGGCTGCCACTGGGCTTATGGTTTATCAAAGAAACATATGTCCTTGCAAACACGTGCCTACACACGGGAACTCTTCGGGGGAAATAAACTTGCACGGACACACGCATATGCTTCAGTGACTAAAACTAGAACCCGTTTTTCAAATAAACAAGTTTCTTTTCAGGAAGCCGGTTTGGGTCAATGGAGAATTCTCTGACTAAGCCGAGGGGCAGCTTGAGTACAGCACACAGATGGTTCCTTGCTTACCGCAGGCCTGTTAGCTGTGCACGAACCAGACCTTTTTGTCCAGATTATATTGCTGGAAGACAAAAAGCCCAGTTCTGAGAGATGCTTCCATACAAAGCGCCATTTATGTGATGTATTTCTGACACTGTGTGATCAGAATTGTTTATTTCCATACAGACCATGATTACCTTAAGGCTCCACTGAGAACCAGTTTGTCTGGCTTAAATTCTTCACCATCAATGTTGTCATTCAGACTTTTAGACCTTCTTTTCTGGGGGCGGGGGGTGAAAACCTCGCCTATTTGGGGTATTGCTGTCCAACAAAAGATGGAGTTTCATCACTGAGGTAGCTCAAGAACACTGCTTCTCATCGTTCTCCTTCTTGCCCACACTCCCACCTAAGTTTGCATGTTTTCCACTTGGATTAGTTGCCCCAGTTACAGCCGTCAACTCCACTCCAGCTGTATCTATCTATCTGCATTACCAAGGTAGTTTGGGGGTTTTACTTTGCACTTTAGTCTGGGGCACAGGTATGAACGCTCCTTCCACAACATGGTTCAAGAATTTTTGACAGACAAGTGATAGGTTAGATTTTGATGTTCTCTTTACAGGCTGTACCATACCTGGGGAGTTGCTGGAGAAATGCTTCTGGTTTAGTTTCCTTAGAGAGAAGCCTAACTTGCACACCTC